GGCACCATTAGGACCTGGAAGATGAAGGACACTCACACACCTGCCCAGGGTCACTTGCCCTGAGTGAGCAAGAAAAATCCACGGGCTACCCCAATGCTTTGCTGGGCCCTATGATGAACCAATATATGGTGGGGCATTGGGGAGGGGGAGGGGACAGAATGGCTCCTGTGGAGAGAGGATCTCAAGAGGTGAGGGTGGAATGGAACTGTCTGCTTGTCATTGTGGCCATGGGCTTGGGCTGCTGCCAAAGGCCATGCTTGGATCCTATGACCCTGCTACAGTCCCGGTCTGTGTTGATGTCTGTGGCTCCTGTTATCACCGACGACCTTGAGGATACCAGGGGCCTCAGTCACCACATGTGCCCCGTTGGTGCCCGAGGACCATGCCACTGCAGGGGCCACCCCAATCTGAGTGGTCTGCATTGTCACCTGAGGGCCATGGAGACAACCAGGCCAGGCTGCAGCTGAGGGCCATGTCTGAGTCCATGGCCTTATTGCACCTGGGGTTCATGTTGTTATCCATGGCACCTGTTGCTAATCAAGGGCCTTTCAGATGCCCTGGGTATGGGCTACAACCTAGGGCCATGTTGATGTGTGAGGGCTACCCTGAAGCTTGGTGATGCTGATCTAGGGAGCCTGTGCTGTCACCAGGGGCCATGATGACAGCCAGGTCTAGAGTGCTGCCAGGGACAATGTCTGTGTTGATGTTAATAACCCTTGTTGCCACTAAAAACCACAAGGATGCCTGGGTTCTGGGCCACCACCTGTGTCCGTGTTGGCATCAGAGGAACATGCAGCTGCCTGGGCCATCCTGATCTGGGTAGCCAGCATTGCCACCCAGGACCAGGGTATCATGCAGACCTGAGCCACTGCCTCAGACCATGTATGGTTCATGGCCCTATCTGTATTGATGTCCCTGGCTCCTGTTACAATCAAAGGCATGCCACCGCGCTGGGTCTGGACCTCCATCTGGAGCCATGTTGAAGTCTGGAGACTACTCTACTGATAGGCCCATTCCACTCTGAGAGGCCTGTGCTGCCACCTGGGGCCATAGTGAAACTTGGACCAAGCTGCTGCTGCTGCTGCTGCTGCTGGGTATGTCTGGGTCTGTGGTCCTGATGCAGCTGGGGTTAAGCAGTATACTATGTAACTCATGGGTCACACTACAGCTTCCATGCCGAATTTTTGTTTTGGGTTTTATTTATTTATTTATTTATTTTCTTGGTTTTGTTTTTTGGTGTTTCTGATGAATTGTTTGTTTTGGTGCTACTTTTAAATTTTTTGAGGGGGAGGTTGCAAGGGCAGAAGGTTGAAGCAAGGGGACAGGGAGATGAGTAAGATCAGGTTACATGGTGTGAAATCCACAAAGAATCAGTGTAAAAGGTAAAAACAAACGAATGTTAAAACCCAATTCTGCGTCTGATAGGATGAATAAAGACAAAGATGTTGTTTTCGTATAAAACTAAGATGGTAGCCGGGCATTGGTGGCGCACGCCTTTAATCCCAGCACTCGGGAGGCAGAGGATCTCTGTGAGTTCGAGACCAGCCTGGTCTACAAGAGCTAGTTCCAGGACAGCCTCCAAAGCCACAGAGAAACCCTGTCTTAAAAACAAAACAAAACAAAACAAAACAAAAAAAAACTAAGATGATTCACAGCCGGCTTTCCCACCAGAAATGGTAAAGGAATTTCATCTGTCTAAAGGAAAGAGTATCAGAGAAACACTTAGACCTTCAAGCATGCAACTGTAAGGGGCATTCTATTCTCTCTTAAAATATACTGCAGCTTAAAGAAAATCTATAAAATTGTCCTGTGGGTGAACAATGTATATATATATGACAAACATAATGTAAAAGACAGGCAGGGATGGTGGTACCAGACCTACAGCACTGATGGTTTCTCCACGGATGTGCAGTTCCAAGCACATCCAAGTTTCAAGTAGCTTGTGTGAAGTGGTTATTATCAGTACCATACCCTGACCGATGGAGCTAACTGGCCAGTTGAAAAACTAGTTACATTGTAATCTCTAAAGAAACTATTAATAGGGGGCTGGGGGACAGGAGAGTGGGGGTGATTGGGGGCTGGGGTTACAAGCCTTTAGTCCCAGCACTTGGGAGACAGAGGCAGGCAGATCTCTGTGAGTTCAAGACCAACCTGGTATACAACAGCTAGTTCCAGGACAGTTTCCAAAGCTACACAGGGAAACCCTGTCAAAAAAACAAAAACAAACAAACAAAAACAACAAAAAAGAAACTATTAATATATGAGACAAAGAACTGGAGCTAAATGCCAGAAGATAGTTAAAATGGAGTCTATTTGAGTCAGGCTCTTACCTTACGACACATGTGAGTCTGGAGCTTACCATGTAGCCCAGGCTGCTTTCAAACTTTCAGATCTTCAAAATGAAGCTTCTTGGGTGTTGGGATTACAGCTGTATGCTACCACACCCATCTTAAAATGAGTAATAAAAATATTCAAATATGCCAAAGGGAGACAGGGAAGGGAGAACAAAAAACACACACACACCACAAACCACACAAATATACATCTCACACACACACCAACACACACACACATACCCCAGAAGAGAAAATCAGGTAAATAATGGCAGACCAAAGTTTAACCATATCAATTATGCATGGTATGCATCCAAGGTCTCAGATACTCACCAGGCTGATCACCCGAGCCTAGAGTTGACACCAGCCTGAGCAACAAGTGAGACTCCCATCTCAAAATCAAAAGTAAATGTAAAGACACAGCAGACATAGGTCAATGGGGAGAAAGGAAAGCCAACCAGTGATAAAAGACATGATGCAATTAGCTAGAAGACGTTAGCTAAAGACTTCAGCTCAAGCATTAGCACAGGTACAGGGGGGCATTCATAACAAATGTCAGTTCATCCAAAGATGTAGCAATCATAAAATGTTTCTATATGTAATAAGAGTCTCAAACTCCACAGAGCAACATCTAACAGAATGAGAGGGAGATAATTCTGCACCTGTACATAGCAGGAAGTCTTTCCATCATTCTGAACTGACAGAAAATGGTGTAAAAAAGAAAACTGAGGTTCATATAGTCAGCGGTGATATGAAGGATATCGTCAACTACCTTGACCCCATGTGTGCTTACAGAACACTGCGCCTGAACCTGCAGAATACGCGTGTGAGGGTGCAAAGTAAATTCGTGGGGATTGAAAGCTAGCTCTTGTTCTCTGACCAAGGCAGAGACTCAGCCTTGAATACCCTGAGGCCAGTGTAGAGAGGAAAAGGTGCTGAGGAGATCAGGCAGTCTTGGAATCAGATATCAGATGTTGAAAGGTGAGATGAGAAAGTGTGGTAGAATATTATTTTAAGGTGTGTGACTTTTGTTTATACTGCATGTGTTGAACCCTGAAGCTGTGTTACTGTGCCTGTCTAAAACAGAAGATCCTAATAGTGAGGCAGGAGCAAGGACAGGCAGGGCTGGCAGGCAGAGAGGATAAATAGAAGGAGAACCAGAGAGGAGGACATCAGGGACCAGCTACCCAGCCATCTAGCCATGGAGTAAGAAGCAAAGTAAGATGCACTGAAGAAAGATAAAAGCCCCAAAGGAAAAGGTAGACAGGTTAATATGCAATAAGAAAAGCTGGCTATAAACAAGCCAAGCTAAGGCAGGTCACTCATAACTAAGAATAAGGCTCCATGTGTGATTTACTTGGGAGCTGAGTGGCAGACCACCTCCCCCCCCCAAAAGACTAGAGTAAAACATCGCACTACCGGGAAGAAGGCACCATTTACCTTCCTGGACACCAGCCCTGAGGCTCTGGTTTCCTGTCTGCCCCCAGGGTCATAACAGAGGTGCTGCTGCCTCATTCAGATTGGCTAGGACAATGGTGCTGAGATTCTGGCCCCAGGCTTCCTGGTTAGCTCCCTTTATCTGCCAGATCCATGGCCAATAGCCCTCTTTCCTCTGGTCTCAGAAGACAAATGTCTTACAAGGAGTGAAATGTGGTGACTACTGTGGGTTCTGGAGACACACAAATGATGGGGGAACAGAACACCAGAGTCTATGAACCAGAAGCAAACTTTACTCGAGACACCTTGGGGCAAAAAGAAGCTTAGCAGCTAACTGAGGCCACAGCCAGAGTCCAGGCTTCTAAAACTGTGGCAATAGGGGAGGGTTTGAGCCTCTTTTTATAGTGAAAACTAGGCATCAGGCATGGGACAAAATTTTTACAACTTTGAGATTAATCTGAGTCTGGTGTGCCCAAACTCTGAACCCCCAAATCACAAGAGACCTGACCCAATGCAAAAGCAAAGAGTCATTAATTTTACAAGTTAACTGGGATTAACTCAGGTCCTGCATCCATTCCACAAAGCAGGAGGAATAGGAGGGACCTCAAGCAGCAATGGGGCAGGGAAGATATTGGGGGAGAGCAAGGGGAGTGTCTGGGGGGTCCGTTATTTGCATAGCAACAGTCTCAAGATTGGTGCATGGCTCTGAGCTGGGGCAACCTGTCCAGTTGTTGATTGGTCAGTTGCAGCAAGGTTGCTATGCCTAGAGGCCCTCCCAGGGTAGTTGCTACCTCTGTATCCCTCTGTTATCATAAACCACATCCAGAACCCACTTGCTAACTTCTGATTGGTTCCTTGACTCATGGAGGGCAAGGCCTGGCAAGGTCAGGAGCTGAGCACTAGCTCCTGAGTCAGGGGCCTTTGTCTTGCTGGGTCTTTTCTGCAGCCTGCCATGGCTGCCAAGGCAGGGGCTGGGTGAGGGTCCCTTCCGAGTCATGTTCACATTTTAAGATTTACAATTTCTTCTTATGGTGTTGGCTTAAGGTACTTGCAGAAGCCTGCAGCTATCCTGACACAGCTGCTCTTCCCTTCCTGGGAAGGATACAGGACAATGTGAAGTGGAAGGCTGCATAGGGGCAGTAGCTGAAGTTCAGGACATGGGAGGATGGGAGAGTCATAAAGCAACTATTACAGGTTAACCTTGGTCCATGGGAGTTGTAAGGCTTAGTTAACCTTTGACCACTGATGACGCTGCTGGCTATAAGGAAAAAAGCCATTGTCAGATCTCAACTCTCTAGGCTTACAATTTTATATTCCTGGGATCTTCACTACAAGGTAAGCCGCTTACATTATGGGCTCTGATTTCTGATTGGGGTGGGGTCACAGTGACTGGAGCCTCTGGAAAGGGAGAGATGGTCAGAAGAGGTGGGCTTCCACTCTGACCAGGTTTTAACTGCAGGTACCTGGCTGGGACCAGTGACCCCAAAGCCAGTCACAGGGACTCCCTGCCACTGCTCTGTTTCTGATAGCCAGGGTCAGAGAAAGAAGGGCTCAGGTCTCCAAGTCAGGATCCCCAACAGGGTGGGCAGTGTTGTCAGCCCCTGGGCCATGGGATTGAGAAACTTGCCTCCCAGGTACTGGTGGTTCCAGAGTGTTGTTCTTTTGTCTTTTAATGTAACTAAATGAATGAATGCTAAATGCTAGGGTAGCTGCTTCTCTAGTCAAGAAGAAAACAGGGGTCAATACTTCCTGGGGGTGGGGCCTGAGGTAGAATTGTATGTACCATTCAAGAGGTCCTGGCATTCCAGAGGCAGTCCCATACACTAGTTCAGTCAGATCAGCTCAGTTTGAACACTGATTCTACCACTTTTTAGATGTAACTTTAACAACCTCCCCAAGCCCCATTTTGCCTTTCTTCCAAATGAGAATGCCAGTAGGATCTACAAGGCATTGTTGTTGGGGCTAATTGTGGACTTCATATAGGTTTTGGCAATAAGCATTATAGTTCGTTATGGGTGGAGCATCAGCCATGAACCTGGAACCCCATTTGAGGGGCAAAGGCCAAGCTGATGGCAGCCAGACTGCCCCTCCCCCCATGGGAAATTTTAGGGAGAGTCTGGGCTTTCCAATTGAGTGATTCCTTTTGATCAGTGAGGCAGGGGTCAGAGGGAGGCCACCAGCCTTTGGGACCCATTGTTCTTCTCCTCTGAACTGAGAAAGAGGTATTCTCCCCAGCTCTCTGCTTGGTGCTCAAATGTGCATGCTCCTGTCAATGGGCAAGTTCAGGAGCCAACTACACCTCAGATAAACAAACCCTGCTCTCTGGCCTTGTCCTTATCGCAAAGAGTTCTCAGTGCTTCACAATGGTCAGGTGATGCCCAGCTGGCCAACCTTATTGTCCCCAGTTTACAGATGAGGAAGTTGAGGTGGAGAGAGAAGGGAATTTTTGATGTCTCCTATGGAGAGGTGACATATATCTCTCAACCTGTAATCAGCCATCCAGTGCAGACTTATGCAAAACACACAGATGGTGAGCAGTCAGAAGAGGGAGACAGCTGAAGCAGTCAGAGCAGGGGGGGGGGCATGTGAAGTAGACGGTGGTGATGACTGGTTTTTCTCTCCCTAGATGAGCTGCTCATCCCAGGTAAATGGAGCAGACATCCTTGGCTCATCTTGTCTCCTCTGCAGGCAGGGTGCCAGCTGTCTCAACAGGGGCCAGGACAGTTCCATAGCTGTGACTTCTGCTTGACCCAGTGGGTATGGAATGAGAGGGAATCTTGGAGTAAGGTGCTTTTTCTATTTAGTGGACATTAGAGAGAATGACTCCTGACGGAATAGCACAGGACACAAAGGTGCACAGAGTGCTGGGGTAAAGGGTCATTTGTTGCTGCCAGTCCTTTTAACAGTGCCCCAATATCCCCCCATGCCCTCTGAAACCAAAGCTCACATATAACCATGGCAGTGAGATCATCCTTCCAAGTTCCCAGAGCCCTCTGTTGTTGTTCAAATAAATGAAAGACCCAGAGAATGATATTGGGGCTCAAGCTTCAAGATGAAAATCAGGAAAGCAAAGTAGCCAGTCACTAGCTCTTACAGCTACCTCAGGCTGGAAGTGCCTCTCCTCAGCGTGGCTGGAGAATACTGAGACTGAATGTCTTCTTATCCTAAATGTGGCTGGAGAATGAATGCCTGATACTAAGACCCTGCTCCTCTCTTATGTACCTCCCTAATGCTGGGATTAAAGGCATGTGATCCCAGGTACTGAGATCTTCGTTGTGTGAGCTGGTTCTCTTTAGAATTGGACCAATCTTGCGTAGATCTGGGTAGCCTTGAACTCACAGAGATCTGTCCACCTCTTAATCCTGAGTCCTAGGATTAAAGGTGTGTACCGCCACCTCCTAGTTTATGACTACTTGGATTAAAGGTGTGGGCCTGGCTTCTATGGTGTATGGCTGCCTTTGCTCTCTGAATCCTCAAGCAAGCTTTAATACATCACTACTCTCTGTTCCCAGTAACGATGAGAAACTAAACTGAATTACTCAGTTCCTATAGAAAAAGAAAAAAGAAAAAAAAAACAAGCCATGTTATTTCTTTAGTACATGGGACTCATGATGGTCACATGGTTAACACAGATTAACGTGCTTATTCTAGCAAGATTTGACATTCCTCAATTTCCTCATGAAAATAAGGATACTATCCTATCTTGGGATTGTAGCAAGGAGTTGATGAATGCATGTTTGCTCTTGAGGTTATTGTACATGGCAGGTATCTACCCTGGCCCAGACCTCACTGAAGTTTTCCTGTTTCTTAAGGTCCACCTCTCAACCTAGGTGCCTGCTGACACCCAGAACCCGGTGTTGCCTGTAGGAATGACAAGAGGGAACACACAGAAGGAAGGAGACCCAGGAGCTGGGAGAGGGAGGAGAGAAGAGTGGCAGGATTTGGGATTAGTGGGGATAAGGGTGGGTATCAGGGAACTCCCAATTGCTGGACAGTATACAGTCCTTAGGGAGGCTCAGGGAAGGGTGCCTCTGTGGTTTTCAGGCCTCTGGAGTGTCTTAAGGATAGGGAGGCAGGCGTAAAGCAGTGAAGACCACCAGCCTAGGACCTCAACCCAAACCAGGTCTGACCCAGCTAGGCCTGTGCACACAACCTGCAGTCTGAGATATTTCTCCTCTCAGAGCCTGTCAGGAGCATCCAGCACATTTGCGTTCTTCTTCTCTGAGAAATTCCTGAGGCAGCACTTCCAGGAGGTGGAGTTAGACCAAGGCGATCCTCAGCCTGGAGACCTCTACGTGTTCCAGTTGCGGTCTTCTAGGGCGCAGTGGTTCGGGGCCCATGTGGGTGTTTACTGCGGCCATGGAGAGATCATACACTTTGAGGGTGAGCGAAAACAAACTTGTCCAGTGATGAGGGGGCTGGACCGGGATGAAAGCATAGGTCTCCGAAAGGAGCGGCTGCCCAGGTGAGAGACTTCAGTTTGAGGAAATGCTGGCTCTGATTTTCCCTGGGTCCGCTATCCATGCAGGCAGGACCTCCAGAGGTGGCAGACTACAAATGCTCGTGCAATATTGCGACGGTATGGTGCACAAAGAGGGCCTCTATGCGATGAGGCGCTCCCGAAGGCTCCTGCGTGTACTTCGCAAACTCGATGGCATTGACCCTAAGGTGCTGGAGCAACATGTGCAAAGAGCTATGAGCAGCGATCCTCCTCGCTACCATCCTATTAGAAGCAACTGCGTGCACTTCGCGCTGGGCCTGTTGGGCATGGACTCAGTAAGCACTGCTCGCCTAGCCACACAAATCCACGTCCTAGCCCCTGAGGTCTTTTGTTTGTTTATTTTTTGTTTTTCGAGACGGAGTTTCTCTGTGGCTGTGGAGGCTATCCTGGAACTCGCTCTTGTAGACCAGGCTGGTCTTGAACTCACAGAGATCTGCCTGTCTCTGTATCCTGAGTGCTGAGAAACTAAACTGAATTACTCAGTTCCTTATGTGGGGAGGGGACATGGGACACAAGCCATGGAACCTCTTTAGTACATGGGACTCATGATGGTCATGTGGTGCACATAGATTCACAGATTGGCCTGTGTACTGTAGCAAGGAGATCCAGGGGCTGGGAGAGGGATGATAAAAGAGTGGCAGGATTTGGGGATAAGTGGGTAACGGTGGGTGACAGGTAACTCCCAGTTGCTGGACAGTATGTGTTCCTTAGGGTGGCTCAGGGCAGGGTGCATCTCTGGTTTTCAGGCCTCTGGAGTGTAAGTGCAGGGAGGCAGCTGTGATGCAGGAATGATCTTCTGCGTAGGGTCCACCCCAAGCCAGGTTTAACATCCGTGATAAGCAGAATGACCCAGCTATGCCTGTGCATACAACCTACAGTCTGAGACATTTCTCCTCTTAGACCTTGGTAGGATCATCCTGCACCTTTAAGTTCTTCCCTGAGGAGTCCATGAGACCACACTTCCAGGAGGTGAAGTTAGACCAAGGCGATCCTCAGCCTGGAGACCTCTACATGTTCCAGTTGCAGTCTTCTAGGGCGGAGAGGTGCGGAGCCCATGTGGGTGTTTATTGCGGCCATGGAGAGATCATACACTTTGAGGGTGAGCAAAAACCAAATTTGTCCAGTCATGAGGGGGTGGGCTGGGATGAAAACTCTCTGAAGGGGGAGGCACAGACCGGTATGGGACTTCAGTTTGAGGAAATGCTATCTCTGATTTGCACTGTGCCTGCTATCCCCACAGGCAGTACCTCCAGAAGTGGTGTTGTAAGCAAACAGTCCCTCAGTGACATGAAGCGCTACGGAGGACAGCTCTTGCATGTGTTTCGCAAATGTAGTGGTGTTGACCCTGGAGTTCTGGGGCACAGTGTGCAAAGAGCTATGAGCAGCGATCCTCCTCGCTACCATCCCAGAAGCAGCAACTGCGTGCACTTTGCGCTGGACCTGTTAAGCATGGACTAAGTAAGCACTGCCTGCCTAGCCACATGTACCCCCATCCCAGCCCCTGAGTTTGCTAACAAATGCACCTGCCCCAGCAAAATTCAGATGTTCCCCTCCCCTACTACACTCAGACCAGTTTCCCCTAAATTTAAGGTTTTACTCTGTAGTCCAAAAGCCCCCAGAAACAAACTGGTGTGCCTATTTGTGAAGTTACACACTATGAAACCCTTTAGAGCCCTTGCCGGAGAGTCCTCAGGCCCCAGTTCTTAGATCCAGACACAGTTCCTGAATACTGACAATCTTCTACCCAGTGCTGGTCCAACCCCATCATTCTTCCTCCTTCAGGAGACCTTTCTGAAAGGACACACCAAGGCCAAGTTCTCAGCCCCAAGAGACTTGTTTCCCCCAGGGAGACAGAGGCCGGGGACAGAAGATAGGGAGAGGGGAGGAAAGGGCCAAGGGAGAAGGGGAAGAGAGATTTTTCCAGAGGGACAAAGGACTGACTGTCTCTGGAGAAAGTGCAGGCAGATGTGGCTCATGGCAAATGGCAGTTTATAAAGGAAAAAGACACCCTGCCCCGTTAGGGTGAGTTGGTTTGTTGTGTTTGGACATGTTAATCAGGGTAGACAAAAGGGGGTTTTTGATTGCTGGACTTCAATACTTTAGTATGTAGACCTTGGTGGTCAGCCTCAGGAGGAGGCTGTTGTCAAATAAGGGAATAGACCTTGGTGGCTATAATCTAACAGTTGGCAAAGCCAGGGAATGGGGGAGGGCAAGACCCACCAGAGCCTCCTTTTTGCCATGCTCAGGCCTACCTGACCCCTTCACTTTCTGTTGACCCAAAGTCCACCTTTCTGAGTTCCACCCGTTTCCAACCAGCCCACCAGTTCTGATTGGAGACTTGAGGATCCTAGGTCTACACTTCAAGACAGCCCTTGGGAACTCTTCTACTCTTCAAGCCTCACCAGGAGTTTCCAACCACTCAACCCCATGCCCAAAACTCTAGCCCAAAGAGATGTAATAACCCATACATAGCCCAGTTTAGGGTTATCTTTCCATCCAGACCTACTACTTCCCTTTCTTGCTTCCCTCTCTCCCTCCCTCCCTCCTTTGGGTCTTGGGAGCAAAGCTCCAGGAATCACAACGCTCTGGAGACCTGGAGACTACATCAGACTAAGTCTGTGTTACTTCTCCCTTCCCTCCTAGATGTCAATGGACTTGGACTTTACCAGGGATTGATGTGACCATGAGCCCTCCCTAGTGGGCCAGAAGAGGCTTCAGTAGGGATCATTAAAGTGTTTTGGAAAACTAAATTAGGATGTTAGATGTTCTCTCTGCTCCACCTGGAACTGCTGTGCTCCAGAATGCAGTTAGTGCTTGGGTCCTGGGTCAGCCTGCTCTTAAATTCCTCTTCTTGTAGGAAACTGCTAATCTTCCCCCTTAGTAGGCAGGTTACCCAGAAGGATTTAGGTTGTATGAACCGCAGGTTGAAAAGGTATCATCCCTTCATCTCCAAGGTGTTCCAACCGATGCCTTCTTTCAGCATACTCCCCTTCCTTCACTGAGTAGGTTGGAGGATCCCTAGATGTCAGTTGATGGAGTGGTGACAGGAGGTTTGGAAGGTTGTACTGTCATCAGTCCAAAAGTCTGGTTAACTTTCAGACCTGTACATGCTTGCATTTGCTTTAAGTACAGAGGCATGGCTGTTGGGGGTGGGGGTTCTGAGTGACTGGGGCTGGGCAGGTGCTGTTCCTCCTCCCAGTGTCCCCACACCCCAACTCCTTCAGCCCCTGGGTGGTTCTGGTGCCTTTCAGAATCCCCTTGCCTTGGCCCTCGTCCAGCTCAGCCACCCCACAGCGTAGACCCATGTCAGCCACACCTGCCTACACAGAAGATGATGGGGGTGACTCGGCCGGCCCTGGGAAGCAGGAATATGGGCACGACCCAGAGAGCTGCTGTATCTCTTTCACTGTATGCTGGGCACTAGCAAGCCTAGACTTGACTGAAGCAAAAGTACCATGGACAGCGCCTGGGAGGCTGAGGCATTCAGGCTTGGGACCAGCTAGTGCCCTCCTCAGGGCTCCCTCAGCCTGGTCACCTTGCCTTAGGCAACCAAGGGAACCCAAGGCTGCAGAGTAAGGGGCCAGCCAGGCAGGGTTCTCACAGAACAGCTGCTGGCAAGATGTTTGCAGCCTCTTATTAGCTGGGAAGTTGACTCAAGGAGAAGCTAAATAAATAAATAAATAATGAATGAATGAATGATGATAATGATGATGATGATGATGATGATGATAATAATAATAATAATAATAATAATAATAATAATAATAATAATAAACCCAAACTCAATACCATGGGAGGCCTCTGAGTTCGTGATCTGCAGTTTGAGTCTGGGCCACTCCAGGAAGCTGGCCCAGGATATCAATTGAGATGTCTCCTCCTACAAATTCATTCCTGCATCTCCCTCTTCATTCTCACTCCTGTTCCAACCCCACCCCATTGCCCTGTGATTCAGTCCTACTTGACTGGACTATGGTTCAGCCCTTTGCCTTTGACATTTATTTGTTCATAAATTCAATAGCAGTCATTTATTAAAGGCCTACAGCGTAGACCTGCCGCTCACACAATACAGCCCTGAACAGGAGAGCACAGATTGCTCGAACGGGGAGCAAGACTGAAGCAGTGACAAGTCGGCCTTTAGGGTCAGGAGGGGACTGTGAGGCGTCTTCCATTTCAGGGAGGAAAGTACTCACATATTAGAAATGGGTCTGGGGTCTCAGGGAAGGGAAATGACCACACAACCCAAGCACTAGGGACAGGCATTTTACTTCTGCAGAAGGGATTCAAGCAGGCACGCACACCCAGTGGAGTGCCCTGGATTTTATCACGGTTCCTCACCCTGGATGGTCTGTGCTAGGCCTCACATGCTTAGTTGGCTGCTAACAGTAAACCCTTAGAAGCAGTGCAACTGAGAAGCAAAGTGTAAGATTTGAGAACAGGGCGAATGTTTTTTGGGGGGAGGATTGTTGTTTTGTTTTGTTTCTTGTTGCTGTTGTTGTTTGAGACTGGCTTTCTGTGAAGCCCTGGCTGTCCTGGAACTCACTCTGTAGATCAGGCTGTCCTTAAACTCACAGAGATCTGCCTGCCTCTGCCTGCCAAGTGCAGGGATTAAAGGCTTGTGCCACCACAGCTCAGGATGCAGCATGGAGCACACACCTTGAACTTAGACAAAGGTTAGGCTATGAGCCTGTGAGAAGTCACAGCTCCCAGGGCTGCAGGCCTCTGCTGAGAAGAGAAAACCTGAGACAAAAGGGATGAAGTCTGTGTGGATGCTAACATTTTAGTAAGAAGTCCCATTGGTAGAAAAGATGGTAAAGGTGGGGGCAATGGTGCTCACCTTAACCCCAGCACTCAGGAGGTAGAGGAAGCCAGGCCGCTTTGAGTTCAAGACCAGCCTGGTCTACACAGTATGTTCTAAGAAGGCCAGACTACAAACAAACAAACAAACCAACAGATAAGCATATTTCATTTCCATTTCCTACATTCCAGAGGATGGGGAGAGCAAATGTAGGTCCTTCTGATGTCAGCACAGTGTGGCTAGAATCCTGGAAGTCACTAGAACGAATGAGGGTTCTAAGCAAGTACTGTATTGGAAGGGTCCCAGGCTGGACTGAAGAGAGTGAAAGGGATGTGGGTCGGGGCTGGAGAGGTGGCTCGCTGGTTAAAAGCACCTGATGCTCTTTCAGAGGACCCAGGTTCCATTCCCAGTGCCCGCATGTTGGCTCCTGACTCCCTACAGCTCCACATCCAGGGGGTCTGATGGCCACTCCTGACCTTGGACACCAAGCAAACATGCACATGATGTCCATGCATGCATGCAGGCGAAACACATGAAATGAAAAATAAATAGATCTTTTTTAAAGAAAGAAAGAGACCTGTGTTGAGAAAGAGATGAGGGAAGGAGATGTTAGCTGGAGCTGACTGTCTGGGATGGCCTGGGGCAAAGCTGCCTGCTGTGACTTTACTGCAGCTGTGATTCTAAACATATAACATTCACACTCCACAAGTGTGATCTGATCAGGCCAGACATTGACACTGCCTGACACACCTTGGTGCACACTGGAGACTATCCCTGGAGACTGACATGCCGTGAACCACAGCACTTTCAACTGTACATACAAAATCTTACAGACATATAATGGCTTAATCATAAAACAAGAATTTTCATATTGTCCTATCATTACTCTTCTGTATGTATTAAATTAGTGTCTCGCCGGGCGTTGGTGGCACACGCCTTTAATCCCAGCACTCGGGAGGCAGAGGCAGGCGGATCTCTGTGAGTTCGAGGCCAGCCTGGTCTACAAAGTGAGTTCCGGGACAGCCTCCAAAGCTACAGAGAAACCCTGTCTCGAAAAACCAAAAAAAAAAAAAAAATTAGTGTCTCTTGTCATTGTTGTTACACAAACATGTGCATGCCTATTACTATTCAACTTTACTTTAATCCTAGTGATAAAATCATGTGTAGTAAATGAGTGGTCTTGTTATCTCATGATTTTATATGCATATATGATGTGTGTATGTATGTGTATGAAGTGTATGTGTGTGGTGTATGTGCACACATATGTGTGGGTGGACATGCCAGCAAACTACAGGAAGATACCCTTCTTTGTCACTCTGTGCCTTGTTTCTTTGATGCAGGGTCTCTCACAGATTTCATCTAGGCTGGCAGCCAGCCATGGCCCCGGAGATTCTGTTCTCCCCATCCCTGTCAGTGCTGAGGTATAGATGTGAACAGGACCAAATCAGGCTTTTACATGATTGCTGGGATCTGAACTCTAGTCTTTTGTGCTGAGTCATGTCTCCAGCCCCAAGGCATTGTTTTAAGGTAAATTTCTTTTGGATTTATTGCCAGTAAATGCTTGGTTTGTATGACTGTTTTATATACCTGCATACAGCGGTTCTATAAAAACTGGTCAAGTGTAAAGAGGTGCTCAGTAGAAAGTGTTTGAGCTGTCCTGACCCAGACTAGGGGAGACAAATGGACAAATGGAATATATTTTTTTGATCAAATATCTGACAAGCAATTTAAGCAAGGGTTTATTTTAGCTCATAGATTAACGCCAAGGTCATGAAGTCAAGAAGAATGCTGGGGCCTCATGTTCTCTCTGTCTCTGTCTCTCTCCTCCTTCCTCCCTCCCTCTCTCCTTCCCTCTCTCTGTCTCTCTGTCTCTCTCTGACACACACACTCTATCTCTCTGTCTCAGAGAGGGAAGTTTCTGTGGCTGTTTACTTCCAAATAAACACACAGAGGCTAATATTAATTATAAAATGTTTGGCTGATGGCTCAGGCTTCTTGTTGGCTAGCTCTCTCTTAATTATTAACCCATTTATGTTAATCTATGTATCTCCATGTGGTCTTGGCTTACCAGAGAATGCCCAAATCTCTTGTTTCCTCAGCAGCTACATGGCATCTCACTCTCTGAGTTCCTCTTCCCATAATTCTCCTAGTCTGTTAGCCCCACCTATACTTCCTGCCTGGCTACACTTTACCTGTCCATTGAGCAAAACAGCTTTATTCATCAACCAATAAGAGAAGCATATATCCACAGCATACAGAAGGACATCCCCATATCTCTCTATTTCTCCTTCTCCTGCTGTAATTCTTTTTTTAAATGCATTATTTTTATTTTATGTGTATGGGTGTTTTGCTTGCATGGGTCTCTGTGAACCACTCAAATGCCTGGTGCCTGTGGAACCCAGAAGAGGTTGTCTGATATGCTGCAACTGGAATTGCAGACAATTGTGACCTGCCATGTGAGTGTTACAAATTGAACTTGGGTCCTCTGAAAGAGCAGCCAGAAGTCTTTTTTTTTTTTTTAAGATTTATTTATTATGTATACAGTGTCCTGTCTGCATGTATCCCTGTAGGCCAGAAGAGGGCACCAGATCTCATTGCAGATGTTTATGAGCCATCATGTGGCTGCTGGGAATTGAACTAAGGACCTCTGGAAGACCAGCCAGTGCTCTTAAACTCTGAGCCATTGCTCCAGCCCCAGTCAGAACTCTTTTTGAGATTTTATTATTTATTATGTATACAGCACTCCATGTATGCCTGCAGGCCAGAAGAGGGCACCAGATCTCATTACAGATGGTTGTGAGCCATCATGTGGTTGCTGGGAATTGAACTGAGGACCTCTGGAAGAGCAGCCAGTGCTCTTAACCTCTGAGTCATCTCTCCAGCCCCCAGCCAGAAGTCTTAACCACCGAGCCATTTTTACAACTCCCACTTTCTCCTTTTTATTCAGTCAGGGTT